ACGATATCTAGTCGCTAGCTATCATACTCGATATAGCTAGCTAACTCAATAAAAGTGGTACGGATAGCTAGCTATCACAAGCCGATATTGCCCGATAACATATTTTTATAGCTAGATAATTTCAAAGGCATTTTTTTGCTTGGGGAACATCGATATTCTCAGCTGATGGTTTTCTAAATAGCAAAACATGCTCAAACATTTGGTTCATTCTCATCATTCAAAACTTCATACATTCGATGATTTCTATCGAAATGATTCGAAACCACTTAAACTTCGTTCAACAACGAATGAATTAAGTTCATCCTCGTCATCATCATCATCATCACCAACAGCAACATCATCTTCTCCAAATAATAATTATTATACATTTTATAATGTTTTTTCTGATTTTAAACCTTCGACACCAACGGATGTTTTACCTGAAGAAGATGAAACTGAAGAAAATAATGAAATTACTCCAATAGAATCGAATCCTTCGACTCCTGTATTTTATCTCGAAGATGAACATCAACATCATACTCCTCCTCCATCATCTTCATCTCCTCATTGGCCTTCATCAATTATCAGTCGGCTTCGACATTCCAGTGATCATCATAATGGAATTACAAAACAAACTTCTATTAATGATAATCATATGAATATGACAAAATCACGTAAAAGTGATTTCATTGATTCAACAATAAATAAACATCGATTTTTGAGACGTTCTCAAACAATTAATCATAGTAGTATTTTAACACAGAAAAAAATTTTCCAATGATGATTTTCCTGAATTATCTTTACCATCAAACGATGATGTTGGAAAAAAACATCGTTCATTTTCAACATAATCGTCATCATCAAACTATTCCAAATAAAAAACCAAATAAATCCAATTCAACAGGATCACTTCATTTAGAAAATGCTCCAGTAAACACAAATAATCATCATCCACGTTCAAAATTGATCAAACAAAAAACTTTACCATCATCTTCAGAAAAATCTTCTCCAGTAAAGAAATCTCCTTCAATATTAATTCTAAAGTACGTGGTCATTCACCATTAGCACTTATTCTTGATAGTTATACCTTATGCTTGATCTTTGTTATGTTTATTCGAAAACAGTTATTTTGTGGGATCGTAAATTGCCTTGTTTTCTAGTGTATTTTCTTTTCTCATTTGGTTTTTTATTCAGATGATGTTGGAAAATTATATAAAGATACTGTTGTTCATCGACAGAGGCGACCGAAATTTTTATTTACTAAACAAATTTTCTTAAAGAATTTTTCAATTTGAAGAAGCAACTAAATTAAAATTAACACGTAACAAAGAAACAAATTTAACTGGTACACAATAGCAAATTGATATAAATGAAAATTTATTATCAGATCAACGAATATTATTCGAACCAGATTTTTCGATTGAATATTCCACGTCAGATAACACCACTGGATCGTATTTTACCATCTTTTCTAATACTGATAGGATCCGATATCTTTTCTAAATATTGTGGAAGTTTCATTAATGTATGAAACCAATTAAAAATATATATATTGATATTGAAATGCACAGGTTACTTTTCAACAATATTTCATATCGTCTGTATTTGTCCAAAAATATAAATCATTGTTCTCGCCAAGTATCGAACTTGGAGCATTCTGCGTGTTAAACAGATGTGATAACCACTGCATTTGTTAAAATATCGTGTGTCACACGGCATGTAGGAGAAAAAGTGAGAATCAAACATGGTATCATTCGAAGACGAGTTGAACGATCTTGGTACACCAAGAGAACACAGTGCTGTTTTGAGTAGTTTAGTTGCTAAACACTATGAAACGAAATCTATTCCAGACATCTGCTCCTCCCTTGCTCTTATCTCATAGGTATCTACAGTACTGTGAAAAATTATAGAACCTTCTTTATGCTGTTTCATTCTTTCGTGCACGCATAACTTTGTTGAAAGAAAACATTCTTCACTACATTAACTTACTATGGAGTGGAAACAGTTATAATGGCGAATAAAATCAAAACTGAATTAGAGCGAACTTTTCCAACTACTACAGTCATATTCGGATATAAAAAAGGAGTAACGCTGTCTCAAATGTTTACGAGTAATTACAAAGGAAAAGATAGTATGAAAATTGGGGTGATATAGAAATTAACATGTAGTAAATGTAGTAAAGTGTATATTGGTCAAACAAAGTTATGCGTGCACGAAAGAATGAAAAAGCATAAAGAAGGATTAAACGCTCCGGGAAAATCATCAGTTGCAGATCACATGTTAGATAATTTTAATCATATTATCAATTTTGAAGAACCTGAAATTCTAGCCAGAGATTTCAATTGGAAGAGGCGCGAGATAAAAGAAACATTGCACACAGTGCAACATCCTAATGCTTATAATAAAATTAGTCATGAACTCATGATATTCAACACATGAAAAATTTTATCTATAACTAACTCCTTTCAGTAAGTAAGTAAAAGTTGACAATCACATGTTATGCAAAATTCTTCTACTTACAGTCTGACAAAACTAGAAAAGAAAAGAATAACTGTATTATCTTTATCTTTTACTGTCATTTGTGTCTGATGATGATGTCCCTAGACATCGAATCTTATATAAGAATCTTATAAATATCTTGTTAGAATCGTGTAAGATTCTTACAGGATTTTTATCAGATTCTTATGAGAATCTTATGGCAGTCTTACAAAAATCTTATATAAGATTCCCCACGTAAGTGATAAGTGTTCGGTAAGATTCTTATAAGATACTTATAAGAT